TTGGATTTTTTTTAGATTGCACTCGACGATACACATGCATGTAGGAAGTAACACTATGAACATCACGGACAAAGAAAGAGGACAAAATATACAGTTCCCCATTCTACCCTCAACAATTGCAGTAGTAGACAAAAGAACATCCCTTCACTGCTATTATGTAAAAATGTGTAGAATAGGTGAATATGCATGTGACACCTGTTCTACACATTTTTACATAAATAGCAGGGAAGGGATGTTCCTTTGTCTTCCTGAGGAACTGTATAATTTATGCGCACGCGGCGTAAACTAGTACCGTACTAGATTTAGGAAAATCAAGGTTGACGCATTCTCGATCAACGACGGAGACGACGTGACACATGCGCAGTGCCTTAAGATGACGTCACATGTTGCAGTCAAAGCTGTCGACGTGCAAATCGAAAAGTCCCTAATGATCATGTTGTTACGTCAAGTAGGAGCAGCAATTTTCAAATAGCGACTTGAGCGTGTGTTGACATGGATCATGTTGAAATATGAGTATTAAATGGGAGCGTAATATGAGGGGCTCATGCCCCAACCCTCTCTCCCCCCAAAAGGTGGTTAGGAAAATAATGAGATGGATAGAGAAGGGAATAAGGACGGTGACTATCATGACAAACACTATTAAAGACGATTGAAAGAAGGCAAGATAGAACCTGTTCAATTAATTAAATGAACGTCTGATTCGGTATCTGGGGGGATCGATCCCCCCCCCCCCCCGTGACTGACTATACCCACGCAACGCCATTAGAACCAGATATGCTCTTCATCCTGATTCGGTCCTTCTCTGATATCTTTCTAGATTTGTCAAGTTGGTCGAGAAGCTGAAATGCGAAACGACATTACCATGCTATATAGCACACTTATACGGGCTAATTGCGCGTCATTATCCACACGTCTCGTCTTGGGGGGAAAAAAACCTAAACGTGACACGGGCAAAAATCTTTTACCTCGTCATGTTTCCTAGCAATTACTCAAAGTCTTTAGCATGTGATTCAGCAGCCTGGATATTCAATCCCAGCTCATTCTGTGTTCTAAATCGGGTTAGTTTCATGTTCGACTTTGTCTAATGTTTCGACTTTATGAGAGTTATCGCTTTCCCATACTGACTAGAAGTCTGAGGCGTATCCAGACCGTGGCCCTTAGGAGGGGCTAACAACAAGAGCTTTTCGCAATAAAGTAACGCATGTAGTTCATCATGGGGGGGGGGGGGGGTTCGCCCAACCAATGTTAAACCTCATTGTTTGCGACCAAGCAGTATAGATTCGTTTGTATATTTCGTGCATGTCTAATGTAGCAATTCTACCATAATTACCTTACAAATTAGAGGTTATGAAATCTGCTAATACTTTGACTTTATTTTCTTGATAAAAAACCTGTGAAGAAGGGCAACTGCCCCCCTCCTCCATTACCCCTACTTCAAATACGGAAGCTCTAATGAATGTTCAATTATTGTACACGTGTTGCTTTCATGAATATTTATTCTGATTAGTTGTTCTACTTTAGAATTAGGGTGCAGTTAGATGTAATTATTCTGCAATATCCATTTATTTGAAATGTAGAACTTTCACCTGTTAAAACAACTACCTGTCATAATATACAATTATATTACACAGTGAGATGGAGAAACAAAAAGAATGTTTTCAATGTTAAAGAAAAACTCATAAAAAGAAGTCAACGAAACGCCATAAATAAAACCAAGCCAATGCTAAATCAACCAAGGAGGCACGATGGCTCAGTGGTAGGGCAGTGGTCTCGATACCTGGAGGTCCCGTGTTCAAAACCCTAGTCGATGCGCCAGTGCCCTTTGGTAAGGTATTAATCTTCATTACCAAGTCCCTCGAAGAGGACTTAAAGCTGCCAGTCCCCTGACTGCTTACTTACAAGCATACATATGCAGTCAGGTAAAATAAACCAAACAACAAACTGACCATCCTTATACATCCTTTAACAATACAAATGATATATACAATTTTCCAGTTCCTTGTATCTTTGCATTTCTTATTCAATCGTTTTTAACTAGTGATTTCACATTGAATTAATCAATTATTGATTCACTGATCGTTTTAGTGAAAATGAAGACACAAGTTAGTTCTCTGTATCAGTAATATTTTTTGGGAGGGTGTCAACCCTGCTGTCTCTTACCAAAATTGTCTTCAACCCTGTTCTATTTTCTCTCTTGATATATCGATCTCCAGCTGACAAAAAGAAGCTGCCGTTTTGAGAAATATATATATTACTTATAACCATGAATTTCTTTTTTTCTGCGTCGCACAGAAATGGCTTGTGAATTGATTACTTTAAAGCCATCCATTCCAGTTTGCCCAGCTGTGAATTGGTACCTGGGAATTAACCCCTTCTATCTATTTCTGTCCCCTCTCTGTCTCTCTGTCTCTCTTTCTCTCTCTCTCTCTCTCTCTCTCTCACACTCTCTCAACCTACACAACGTTAAAATACCAAGGACCACGAAGTGGTAACCGATTTTTCTGAAACGCGTTTTTCCTCTCGTAAAGATTATGACATTTTGCTTTTTGAAAACAACAACAAATATATATACATACATATAATAACAAGAGTTTGTAAAAAAAAAAAATAATAATAATCTAGCTGTTACAATTTGGTATCTTTTAATAGGAGGATAATTTATGACAGGCTCTCATGTCAAGAATATTCTATTCCTTATCTGTTACAGGAAGAAGAGGACTTTGTTCTAAATAAAATGAATGGTAATGATAATAGCCTTCCAAAGCAACTTGTGTTATTCTGAAGGAAACAAATTGTTAAAGCTCCTTTTACCCCGAAAGATTAATCCCTGCCCTCTTTTTTCAACAAACCATTTTTAACAATCAACCATAATCATTAAACTGACGACCATTTGTAAACTTCCAAACGACCTGCATTCATTTTACCTGTAGAATTAACATCGTATGTCATTACAAATACGCCGCGTTTAACTTACTGTAGACTTACGACCATTTGTCACTTTAATAAAACGAGACACATTTAAAGAACGACTAAACGGCTTTGGGCGTTCATTTGCATTTTCATGTAATGGATTAGGACTTTAATGAGGAGAATTATTCTTGCTTAAAGCATGGGTAAAACATGACTCTGGGGGATACAGTTGTATGTATAAATAGCAGTCTATCATGTTGATGAATTGTTACCTGCTCGTGAAAGTCACCGGTTTTTCTAAAGGGGACCAAAGTGGGGGTGAACAAGGAAGACCGCAGTAAATAGCTTGTATGCGCATTATTCATAAAGTCCACGAGATGAAATACCAGACGTTTGCACAATGGACTTGATAGAATGCAGGTGTGTAATAGATATCCTATGCATAATGCATCGTATAGCTGTCACAGTGCCTCGTAACATCGCAAGGACCACAATCAAATGAACTTAAATGTTTCCGCCATTGTAGATTTATTGTCATGAATATTGCCTTTCTGTGATGACTTTAATACAATACATTTATTATTTATGAATAGCACCACAACGTCGGTAAAAAGTGTTAAACATTGATGTATATATGAATGATCATTCATGTAGCAAAAAGGGTCAATTATATTAAAGGAGAATTTGTATTTATCGAATTCCCTCCTCCACTTACAAGTGATTCTCAAAAGGGTACCAGAGCAACAACCACAACAATATAAATACATTAAGAATTGGAACTGCATCTTAAACATTTTCATGTACTTCCATGTTAAGAACATCTTATCCAGCCAATAAACTCAACCCACTTGCTTTTAACAGCCTGTTAACGAAAAATAACACGTGCGTTCATTCATTTATTCATTCACCCGATCTCATGCATGCTCATCGACCGTTACACTTGGTAGACAAAAGGGCGTATCAGTTTTATATTCTGGCGTTGAGAGCATTTAATTAGTTTTTGCTACCCAATCCATATCGTCAGCAGTGGTGTGTGCTTTTCTGTACTTCGTGCAAACTTATATCGCAAGAGCCCTGGCTTGGAAATGATCAATGAAGTACATTGTTTGTCGTGTCAACATGAACGTGGAAAAAATGGAATTTAGTGGCATGAAGTACAAATTTATCGCACAAATTGAACACGGGTGTAATTCTCCGAAAGTATCCGTAGCAGGAATCCCGGGAAAATATCTACATCGTGTTACAAGATGCTATAATCATGCAAAGGACCTTGTCCAACAATGGCTTGAAAAGCTTTTCTAAGAAAAACATCACAAAACGCGCAAATTTCCAAAAAAACTATTCTTCTTGCTTCCTTTTTAGGAGGTAACCCATTACATTTCAAAGGAATAAAAAGAAGTAGAATGCTAAGAACAAGGAGGAAGAAGAGAGGAATAATGGGAAAGACAGTTAAGATCACGAGTGCCAAATGTGAAATGTTTAAAGAGAAAAAAGATAAATATTAATACCCGTCTTAAAAGTACAAATGAATAACGACAAATTATTGCTGTAAATATGTCAAATGTATCTTGAATTGATTATGTCGAAACATGAATAATTTCTTTTCATATTTTCTATTTCTCACTACCTTCCTGTAACTCTTTTCTTTTCTTTTCTTTTCTTTTCTTTTCCTGCTCCCACTCCCCCCCCCCCCCCCCTCTCTCCCTCTCTGTCTCTCTGTCTCTCTCCTCTCTTCCCTGCTCTCCTATTAAAGTGGTCGAAAAATGCTTCCACGGAGAAACACAACTTAAATATTGTGCGTGTTTTGAATCAACCTGGTAAACAACATTCTTTTCATATTTTCTATTTCTCACTACCTTCCTGTAACTCTTTTCTTTTCTTTTCTTTTCTTTTCTTTTCCTGCTCCCACTCCCCCCCCCCCCCCTCTCTCCCTCTCTGTCTCTCTGTCTCTCTCCTCTCTTCCCTGCTCTCCTATTAAAGTGGTCGAAAAATGCTTCCACGGAGAAACACAACTTAAATATTGTGCGTGTTTTGAATCAACCTGGTAAACAACATTATGAAAGATGTAAAACAAAATGCATTTTACTTACCATATTAACTTCTGAAATGCTGTTTATTGATACTATCTCGATGTCTATACCTATGTCAATGGCTGGACCTGTCGAAATGAAGAACGAAAAAAGAAGACAATTTGAAAAGCTGTAGAGCCTATAAGCACATTGGTATTTAAATTTTTTTTTTTATCTCCCCTCCTTGAGAAATTTGACAATGCATCATCAAAGACCAGTCAGTATGAACAAGATTCTCACAACATGTTGCTCGCTCGCTTCGCTCAACCGCTATCATACCATCATGGAATTTATTGTCATGATCGTATGCTACCAACTAAGATGGCATATGCATTAAGGATGACATCAAAATAAGAAATTGAATTGAATTCATGATTATTTAGTATGTACATGTATCAGGATAGGGAATGAACAGTCTGTATTAACTACAAAGCCTGTGTTTGGACCGCCTGTAAGTTCAATGAACCACAAGGATTATTTATCCCTCTCTCTCTCTCTCTCTCTCTCCCTCTCTCTCTCTCTCTCTCTCTCTCTCTCTCTCTCTCAAACACACATACATATACACACACTCACATACTCACACACTCCCCTCGCTTATTCGAATCTATACAATTACAATTCGTAGATGCGTTCATATAACACATGTACTCATTAGTCGATGCGCTATCTATTTCTGTAACCCCATTAATCTACCGATTCTTTTCCAGACGTCCCCAGCTTACTGGACAGGGATCTAAAGCTTTCAGACAAAACTAATTTAGAACTACATCGGGGCTCAAACAGGCATTATACACCCTACCAAATGGAAATCTGTCAAGCAATTGGCGATTTGACATTTTGTTCCATTATTCGACACGGGTATTGATGGAAATTCATACCGGGTAACGAAGAGCGATCGATGGGAAAGTGCTTTTTAGGGGTGATGCGTTGACCGGGGAAAAATGTAGTCCCTTATTATGATACAATGTTAGTTAGGTTCGAATGCTTGCCACATACTTTTATTATATAGCCTATTTCCATATCTAGCACATTCGGACACGAAATTAAGCACGCTCTGTTACTTTACTTGCCTATTTCAAACGGAATAACGAAAGAGGTAATATAGAATTACCGACCTACAAAGCATGATTTAACAAACTTTAGGAGAGGGTTTTGCACAGAAATGAAATGGGTTTTGAGATGCAGCATAACCATAAACATTGTACATGAAAATAAAAAGATGCACATAAAACATAAAATAGACTGAGAGACTACTTTGGGGATTAATTTTGAGGGATCGACTGCAAGACAGTACTGTTGTTGCAAAGTGTGTAGAATTCTTTCTAGGCAAAATGTCTCGATCTATACTAGTAAAAAGGTGGCACGAGGCCTATCCTTTCTCGCCGTAGGCTTTGGAGGCATTTCAAATAATTTATTAAAACCGCATATTCTTTTAAAGGAGAAGTCCACCATTAAGTTAGTTTTTGACAGAAGCATACTAAATGAGAGGAAAGGGACAGTGAAGGTTTAAGCAAAATCCGATTTTTTAAATTTTTTTTAAACAAAGTTATAATTTTGTTGGAAGTTGTCATCAGTGAAACGTGAATTGGCAACAATGTGGCGTACCTGGTGAGGTCCTCTCCAATTTTCTCCGTACAGAACATTTCACAAACTTTCATTTTCTTAGTTATTGATGACGGAGTAGACTTGTTCCGTACAGGGGTTTTTATGAAACAATTGAATTTTTAAAAGGGTAAATTTAAAGTTATAAATGCTTTATAGTACATAGCAAATGGGAAGGGACTTCGCAAGATACGTCACAGAGTTGCCAACACGTGTTTGATTGATCGCAGCTTCAAAAATTAGTCAAGTTTTGTCAGATATTTCTTCAAACTTTTGCTGACCTGTTCCTCTCATTATTTTGTCTGCTTCCATTAAAACCAACTCAATATCAGGGTGGACTTCCCCTTTTAAGATGGCGATGTATAGGTATGCCCCCCCCCCCCCCACAGTCTACGAAATAGTGCATAACCATATACCTCGGTGAGTAAGGGAGTCTAGACACACGCTCTCATTCAGGTAGATTAAAGCTTAGGTGACGGTGACAAATATCTCTAGGCCTTCTATACCAGTGTCTCATCTGGGTAACAGTTCAGTCACACCGGTAGACCGACTCAACACCGATCCCAAACGGTGCAATTCTTGGCGATTAGGTTTGGTACCATTTTTGTTCGGTATGTGATCGGTTTGGTGTTGGTCTCGTCCGTGTGACTGAGGTATTCGGGTACCCCAACAAAATTGACTTGGGGCTCTCTTGACGCCTGTGTTATTTCCGTTCCATTAAGACGTGCTCAATGGAATTAAGAAGGAGAGAGAGAGAGAGAGAGAGAGGGAGAGAGAGAGAGGAAGAGAGAGAGAGAGAGAGAGAGAGGAAGAGAGAGAGAGAGAGAGAGAGAGAGAAAGGGGAAAGGGGGATTGAGGGGGAGAGAGAGAGAGGGGGAGAAAGAGGGAGAAAGAGAGGACGAGAGAGAGATAGGTAGAGAGAGAAAGAGCAAGGGAGAGAGAGAGAGAGAGAGAGAGATAGAGAGAGAGAGAGAGAGCAAGAGAGAGAGAGAGAGAGAGAGAGAGAGAGAGAGAGGGCACAGGTCGAAAATGCAATCAATGTTATATAAATCTATGGCAAATTCTTTAATAAACCAAAGATGTCCATGCAAAAAGCGGGACTTTATGGCACATTATAAGTACTAAATGAGGTATATGTCGATAGATCTCTCCTTAACATCATAAGAAAAAGACAACTTTAGTCAGTTGGGCATATTATGAAAAGAGAAGTCACAGAAAACATGATACTGACAGGAACAATTGAGGGGGGCAGCGCATTATAATACATGGATAAGTTCTTTTGGTTGACTGGTAAGAGAAGCAACATCACATTACAAAGAACCAGAAATAGAAGGAGATGGAAAGCCTTAATCGCCAATGTCTGGAACAGACAAGGCACCAATCAAGCAGGCAAGATTTAATCACCAAACAAGGGGGAAAAGAGCTTCAGGTGTTCGTTTAATTATCTTATTTAACTCACTGTCTTAATAACACCTTGAGATACTATTAGTATTACAACAATATTTGATACCCTCGTGTGTGCCCAGCATGAAATTGTCATGTACTTATTAAGAAATGACAGAATCTTTACATGTGGTCTCAGCACTTAGCACTGTCGTTGGATAGAAGGTTGACTCTAAGTGTGACCGTGACAATGAAAAACCCAGTTTTTAGAACCAATCGCAGCGTATAGGTGTGACTTTGCATCAGCCTCGTATTCGAGAAATAACGCCAAAAATAAAATGTCTTTGAAGTGGGGAAATTTAAAAAGGAATGTTTTGATTTTACTTGATGAACAGTAAAAAGTTATGCACACCCAAAGGGCCTCCTACTGTATAGAATTTTTCATTCTCATCTGGTCAAACCCAACACATACAATAAATGGAAATGAATTAAAATGATTTTGGACAACTAACGTGTCAGATGAAGGTGATAATTCTAAAACACTTTTGTAGTAACACTCCAGATACGTGTATTTTCAGGCATTCATCAAATACAAAATACACTTAGCCTCAATTGGATTACTTCAGTTTCTGACAGGATAAAAGAATCCCACTTGTTATAAGTGAAGGAACATGAACATAGCGATGTCAACATTATCACTAGACATAGAACATTGACCCCCCCCCCCCACACACACATAGTCTCGAAGAGCCCCAATTGTAATAATGTAATTTCTTGAAAAGATCTATACATGTACTTTGATTGTCTGGTTTAGTGTGAGAGCGAGAGAGGAGCTCTTACGTGTTCGTTGCTCTTTTGCGACATAAATGTCAATCACCTGTTCAAACTGATGGAACCCGCTATGTGCACGATATCATAGTGGTTGTCAAACAGTTATGCAGTAGTATACCGTGTCAACACGGAAACCTTGCCCCCCCCCCACCCCCCGCCCTTATCCTTGATTGCAATGGAGCGAGGTATGAATCTACATGTAGTGGCGTATCCATTCAGCGAAGGGCGTACTCGGTGGATACCCCCTACACTTCCCCCTCCTAAAACCTCTATTAGCATGGTAAGAGAGACGAGAGAGACGGGGGGGGGGGCGGGAAAGAGAAAAGAAGATCATACATGTAGGACCCCTTCCAGATCCCTCAGCTTTTCGTTTTTCGTGAAAATTCGTATCTCCCCTCCTATCCTGATAACCCCCCCCCCCCCGTAATGCCTGAGCCATCGCTATGCCCCTGCTTCTTTTGAATACAATTCTAACCTCATAGGTATACTGTTCGCCAAGTCGAAACTTTAATTTGAAACAAAAAGTGACCTCCATCGATAGTGGACGTAAATGCTATGGAAAATCCATGAATGTAACTTTAATTTGCCATTAGTTGAATTTTTAACCACCAAAAGATAGAATACTCAAGCCTTGATCGACAGGAACGCTGTTCAGATGAAAGGGTTGATTAAACTATCTTTTCAAGGCGAATACGTCTGTATTCGTTACGCGGGACGGTGTCCAGCTTTTAACCCTATTTCAAAGATACATTAACGACAATGCGAGAGCTTTGTTGATGTCAATAAGATTCGCACGCTTTCAAAACTGTAACGTATTTGCTTTTAGGAAACAATTAAACATACTTAGTCAATTGTGAACTGGTGGATGTATAAACATCTACCTTTTATTTGTCAATGACGCATAATCTAGAGAGGAAAAAAATCAGTTCTCTTGATTCAATGGACATCATGATGTGTCTTTATTCAATTTGGATTTTACATGTGTATTATGTGTTATCTTTGCATTTGTAATTTCTTTGTTATGAAAGGCCATGATTTTTGTTCAACAATTGTAGATTTTTGTTCAAGCAATTTATTATCGAAGGTCGAGTCCTTTACTCTTTTTCAAAGAAAGCAAATCATATTACATTCAGCATAATCTGCCTCCTTTTAAAGGTCTCGGATTGTAAATATTTCATTAAAGGTAGGGGAAAAGTTTAATTCCCCTGTTATTAATGTTACAAATTATAACTAAAGTCTCCATGGCCGCTCGCGCTCAAGGACGTCTTTCTAT